ATGTCATGTTTGATACACAATATAGTACTAGCCTAGTTACGTGTGCAGTTGGAGAAGGCGTAAACACTAATGGTACTAGCACAAAGGTTACCCAAACAGTGGGAGATTCTGTCGTGCAACAAGATAAACCCCAAACCATGGGAAAGTCTAAGAAAAAAAAGGAGGGATAGTAGAAGCAGTGGGAGAAACTGCTAAATCCTTAAAGTGAACTCGACGTGAGACTAAACGATCAGCACGATTCAAGGATTACATGTGTTTTCAAGCACAAGTGGATAATGTCATTAAGGAAGATGGGATTCAGAATAAGATTCCAATTCCGCGAAATATAAAAAAAAGGCATTAAGAGGTCCATACAATAAACAATGGCGGCAAGCACTGGATCTTGAATACTCTGTAATAGATAATGGCACGTGGAAACTTGTGCAGCTACCACCAGGTAGGAAAGCTCTACCGTGTCATTGGGTACTCGTGGTTAAATACCATGCAAATGGAGCTGTCAAAACGTTTAAGGCTCGATTAGAAGCACAAGGAAACCACCAAGCGTTTGGTGTTGATTGTGATGAGGTATACGCACCTGTAGCTCGGTTTGAGTCACTTAGGCTGGTATTAGTTATCGACACTCTATTGGACTGTCATTTTCATCAAATGGATGTCCACACAGCATTCCTAAATGGAACTATGGAAGGAAACACAACATTCTATATGAGACAGCCCCCTGGATATCATGTTCCTGGCAAAGAGGCTTGAGTATGCAAACTCCAGAAAGTGAAACAAGCACCCCGAATTTGGTACCAAGTCCTACATAAGTATCTTAAAAGGTTGGGTTTTGTCCGGTGCAACAAGGAATTTTGCCTCTACATACAATAAGTGGGAGATGAATGGGTGGTCATTGTGGTATATGTTGATGACCTAACGATCATGTCAAAAAGTATGCGACTGATCAATAAGGTCAAAGCAGAACTGTCTATGAGATTTAAAATGAAGGATGTTGGAGACGTCCACTACATCCTGAAGTTGGAAATCAAACGGAACAGAGAAGAGAAGACAAT